ATTGATCTTACCGGGAACCGTAACAAAAAATTCATATATTTGGTCTACTGCTGACGAACAATTATTTTTATTTCGAATGTTTGTTGATAATTAATAAGAAAAACTTAATTTCTTATGGGTATAGACGAACAAGGTAAAATTTATATTTGCTATGGGCATAGATCTAACCACTTCACATGCATTTAAGATGAATAGGTCAAATTCATTTACATAAGCAATAAAAATAGCGACCTTGAGTAACCTCGTATATCTTTCAGAAACTGTGAGAAAAATGGACATTTTTTTTTCACATGCGACCAGTTTCTTTAATTCTTCTTTGAGGTGAGCATCTTAATTTTTCCAATTTCAACCATTCCAACCGTTATTATGAGGAAACAAATAATGCATTTGCATTTTGAAAAATGTATAGACGGTTGTGTGTGAGTGTGTGTGTGCTTGTGCGTGCTATAATTTTGCTGAAGTGCCTGGAAATAAGTGTTGAACTACAACATTAATGCCGATTTGGTTTTGGTTTTTTATTAATTAAGAAAATCTAATTTCCAAAATATCATCAGAAACTCAATTATTAGACCTCGAGTAAAGCAAGCCCTTAATAATTTTTCAAAATGCAAAACTGTATGATAAAAATTTTGAACCTAAAGTTTGTGTTGTTTTGTTGTTTAGAACCATAATTCCGAAAGTGGTCGAGGTGTACCCCAAGGGGACACAATTCCTAAGCGGGGGTTCACAAAAATTTGTCTGCTTTCCCTAGTGAAGAACCACTATATATTATTTTAAGAAACTCAGCGACTATTATTTGTAAAAACTTGCATATTCCATATTCAGGAATGTAGCTGCAGGCGGTCCATCGAAACCAGCAAAATTTTGACAGTTGTCTATGAAAAAAAAAAAAGTTGGCAACCTCTGTTATTATTATCACATTTTATTATAATTATGTAACGAATGGATCAAAACCCTCACATCGTTACTAATTTTTTGTCTATAAACCACAGACCACGTTGAAATATATTTCGAAACTCAGAGTTGTATTTTCAATGTTCAAAATGATGTATTTATGTTACCGGCAAACTCCGTCATGCAGTCATACCTAGGTTTGCCTAGGCAAAGTCCGCATTGCCGAGCCACTTTAGGCCAAGTCCGAAATTATTAGATATTTCGGAAATTGGCTACACTGTGGTATGACAATTTTTAGTTTGTGTAGCAGGCAAACTCTAAAATATCCCAATTGCAGACGCTCGACTCTTGTGTTCATATAATCGCGGCAGGGTGCGGACTTCACTAAATTCTCATTCTGTATATCTTTTTAGTTGTTATTAGGCGGCTGTTCAGTTCCGTTCAAGTCTGTGACGCGAGTGAAATGAAGGCGAGATTTTTGTAGAAATTAAAGGGTATGCAAAAACCAATAAATTAATTTTGCATTCCAACGATAGAGAAGTACGAATCAATAATTAAAGAAGTTGAAGAAGGCAAGAAAGCTGCGAAAAAAACAACTTTTCAATACCGACATCTTAAACATTAGGATGTGTTACTTGTTGGGGGCATTAAAAAGTTAATTTTGCCATTGTCTGAGCAAGTTACTGAAGCGAAATACTTTGTGCCCAATGAAAAATTGTTTGAAGTGCTAGATAATGCTCACATGCTGGAAGAGATATTATATTAAAGCACTAACCAACAAATATGCTAACGTAACTCGACAATGCATTACACTTTACTTAGAGCTATCTAAAGCCTGTCATAAGAAGAAAAATCATTAAAAAAAAAATAACCGTAAAACCGCTGTTGTTCCGAGAGGAGGATTTCAAATATATTCTTAATTACAAAGATCATCTTTTTAAATATCTAGTTTTATGGCCACTAAAAACGAAAACAGCAGAAAAGGTCAATTTTTGTTTAATAGACATTTTTTGCATTTTGGGAACTCCTTCTGTGTTGCAGTCCGATAACGGACGTGAGTTTGCAAATCGCATTGATAAAGAGCTGAAAGTGTTGTGGCGACAACTAAGTATAGTCCACGGAAAACCATGTCATTCCCAAAGCCAGCGGCAGGTATCGCAAAAAAGTTTCCGGAAATTCAAGTAGGGCAGGGGTAGCCAACCTCTTCAATGTGTTGAGCAACTTTGTTAATTTTTAATAAACATTGGAATTGTTTATGTTTAATATTATGACATTTAGATCTTTTTGTTGAATTTTGAAGTTTCTCTGATTTTTGCGGTTTGTATTTTTAAAATTAAAATCCAGTATTGCCTCCGCGAGCTATCGGTAGCTCGCGATCGGCAGGTTGGCGACCGCTGAAGTAGGGGAATCAGTCACAGTGCTCTAGTTTAGACAGAGGCAAAGCAGATGTCCGTAATATACTAAGTGTTTTTACAAAATTTGTACTAAACATGATGTAATTAGCTCTCTATATGCAAGGAACCAAATCCAAAGTTTTTTAAAATCCAAGAATTCCCGAAAATAGACCTATCACTTCGCGAAATTAGTGGGCACAGTTCTTCATTTGGAGGGCAGAGGTTTCAAAGATGTAACCAAAAACTGTACCACTAACTCTTGTAAATGTAAAAGATTAAAAATGTTATGCAATTCTAAGTGTCACCATTCGTTGAAAAAATAAGTGACATAATTAACTCTAAATATATTTTATAAGGGTCCCTGTATAATATGTACTCTGTAAAAGTACCTATTTTTAATAGTAAGTGACATACAAAAACAATACAAGGTGTATTTGTGTGTTCTTTAAGATACAATAAATTATTATTAGAAATTGATTTCCTTTTCTTCTATCGCAAACTGTGCCTTATACTTTGCCGGTAACATATATAACATATATAATGATTCCCTTTATCAGTGTTCTACAGTTCGAAAAACTGATCAAATCAGAATTTTAACCATTTTGGAGTAATCACAAAAGCACAGGCGGTAATTATTTTACCTGATTTTCAACCTAAAGTTTGTGGTTGATTCAACTATGTATTACACAAAAAATTAAAAATTAAAGGGAATTTGAATCAAAGCTCTTTAATTAATACCACTTTTTGACAGTTACAATAAACAGTTATAATAAATAAAATAAATAAGAACTAAAAGTTCAGATTTTCACAAAATTATTTATTTTTACATGACAATTGTTTCGACAACACCGTGTCTTTATCAAATGTAATATTTACAAACTACCTGCTACTATATATACCGAAAAATAACCATAAAACGTTCATTAATGTTGTTGTGAGAATTTAAGTTCAATAAAGGAGAGGTATTTAAATCTAATCGTTAATCGTTAACCAATACATTTGAATGTCTCATTTTGTTAATCTCCATGGCTTCCAATAAATTTAATTTTCTACTTTTTGTGGTTGAATGTAAAATATCAAAATTGTCGTCAAAAATGTGTTTTTGTGTGTTTTCTAGACTATTGTTTTTAAACGCTCTTTTACGTTCGTTAATGCGTTTCTTGGAGGATCTACCTATGTGTCCAATATGAATTTTAGGACAAGATCCGTATTTTAACCTGTAGACAACTGATTTTTGAGATTTTGGACATTTTGTTCTATTGTTTTTTAAAAAATTTCCTAATGTGTTGTTAGTTCTGAAAGCTATTTTTAAACCACATTTTGACAAATGTTTTGAAACTTTTTCACTAGGTTCTCCTATGTTGTAATTGTTTTAAATTGTTCGTGTTCTGCATTATTTTTCGGATAATTAGAGTTTACTGTTGTCTGGATTTGTTTTTTATTTATAATTTTATATACAACGGACGGATTGTAGCCGTTGTTCAGTGCAATTTGTTTAATGATATTAAGTTCTTTGTTGTAATTTTCTGTTGAGAGTGGCGTATTAAGAAGTCTGTGTATAAAAGAGTGAAAAGCAGCCATTTTGTCCGTGTGTGAAGGTTTTCGTAAGAGTTAAGTCTAAAAAATTAATAGACTTATCATGTTCAATCTCGATAGTGAATTTCCAACAACAAAGCTAGCAAAGACATCATCTACGTATCTATACCACCATAGAAAACTTTTACTTAAAGGATGTTCTAGTATGATATTTTCCAGATTATCCATAAAAATCTCGGCTAAAAAAGGACTAAGTGGGTTTCCTATGATCAAACCTTCCTTAGAGATGTAAATCTGTCCATTAAATTCAAAATAATTTTCGTCTAAGCAATCTAATAAATCTTGTTTCACCAATGGGTTAACTTGTTTCCGAGTTTTGTAAACATTACATTTGGTAAAGACACAGTGTTGTCGAAACAATTGTCATGTAAAAATATCTAATTTTGTGAAAATCTGAACTTTTAGTTCTTATTTATTTTGATAAATGGATTTTCATCAAGTAAAAGCCACCTCAGTTCAAGTTATAATAAACCCCGAGGGCCGAGTATGAAGTTCTAATCAAACACCTATTCTATTGATTTTTCACTATTGGCTAGCCCTTGAAACCCGACAAAAAATTAATTCCATTTTCCTGCAAAAATGTTTCGAAATGGATGAAGTTTATGAAGATGTATTTTGGGTGTTCAAAATGATGTATTTTTAAGATTCCATTTTCCTTTGAGCAATGTACCTACACAGTAGAGCAGTAATAAAAGACCAATGAAATCAATTTTTCAACCATTTCGGTGTAATTACAAAAGCGGAGGCGGTAAAATTTTTGCACGGCACCTGCACGTATCCAATTATAAATTTATCCCGAAGCAAAGGCAGAACCCTAGCGGCCTTGTTCGCCTATAAATTTGCATCGAGACACTATCTATAATTATCTATTTGTGCGTAGAGATTTTTTTTGCGCCGAACCTTTTCAAAAACGCCGGGCTCACGGAACCGAACAAAAATACAAATCGGCCATTAGCTCGCCGCAACCGAGCTAGCGCCGACGGTGGAACAAAAAATCTTGACCCTTTCCTATGGCTTGTGCGGGAGTCAATAAGCACCTTTAAGTGGGAGACGAGAGACACAAAACCCAACCTGCTACCTCGAGTGATCCTGCGATGTTAGTCTGCAAATCGCGCTTTCGAACGCCGCAGCATCCACTGCGATCTGTGCAAGTCTTGCGAGAGCGCGCGGCATTTCACGCCGACCTTCCCAGACAAGTTACGTGCTGACTTATTTACCATTTGAAATTTTAATGGTCCGTTTGCCGCGCGAAGCTTGACAAAATGTTGCAGTATGACGAAGAGCTTTCGGAAAGGCTCGGACTCACCATTCAGTCCTCGAACTATCCTACAGACTCGAATAATAATTCCGCCGACAAACGGGGGGACAAGTACTCCCTTAGGCCCCGATCCGCGCGAAGAAAAAAAATCTGCCTGGACGATAACGACCTTCCGGAGGACGCCATCGACTCCGTCTCTCCTCCATCTAGCAAATCCGGTCGCGGGAATTTACACCGACCGAAACAAAAATCGGCACCTCTGAGTAAGTACCGCAGGAAAACGGCGAACGCGCGGGAACGCAGCAGGATGAGGGAAATTAACCAGGCGTTCGAGGCACTTAGAAAGGCGGTACCCCAGATCACGCCGAACCAACAGCAGAACGAAAAACTGACCAAAATTACGACGCTGAGGCTCGCGATGAAATACATATCAGCCCTCAGCTCGGCTTTGTCGAGTTGTCCCGCGGAATTGCCCCAGCAAGATTTGTTTTCCGAATGTTCCGAATTGGAATCGTTTTTGCTCGAGTCGGATGGCGAATCGTTGCCGTTGAGGAGCGACATTTCCGACCATTCGATCACGCCTGAAGAGTTCTCGGTCGATTTCGACGACTCTTTGACGCCGGGCGATTTCGGACGACTGACGCCAGATTTTTCCAACCATCTCCATTTCGACCCGTTCCTGGTCGATTTTAGTTGAGTTTAAGTGTTATAGTACAGTGATATTAAACGAGTAACTAGAGACGGTAATTATTTAATTTTTCGAATACGAATTTTCTACAATTGCAAAATTGCCCAGGTTCAACGAATAATTAGGAATATAACGAATGTTCTCTTTTTTACCTATTTTTGATTTCCGATAATCGTAAGCATCAAAATTGTTCAAGACTGGACGCTATTTTTCCGGCTTTTAACATATTTATTTATTTTATTTTTTTATTTATTTTTTGACAAAAACATTTTTATTCTTTCAATTTGCTCCCCGACTTAGAACCTTTTGGATTTTAATTAAAAAAAATCAAAAAAATACCTAGTTATATCTAGGCTGACTCCATCAACAATAACATATTTTTTAAAAATTAAATTGGTACCCAATGTATATTTCAATGGATCGCATTTTTGGGCAAAAAATTGTTTGGTCAGTTTTGGTGGTCATTGCAGCTTAAATAAATAAATGTGTAAAAAAACTGCGCCCAAAACGTTGCGTATTGTTTGACAAAAGATTGCTAAGTATTATATTTATTGTATATCGATATAGTTTTTAACGTTATACATTATGTAATAGTCGATTAAATGTATGTTGTAAATTTTCCAGTGAACGTGAAAAAAGTGCCTTAAATATGTTATTAGAAAAGCGGGCAACGCATTTGTCGCTTTTTAATAAATATTCTCGTTACTTAAGCATTTCAGATAGTATTTTTGTATAAATAGATGTACATATAAAAGAGATAAATACGAAATATACTATTTTATTTGAGTCTACGGCTTTTATTAAATTTATAACCGGCATTGGGCAGAAGTATTGCGAATTTGAAATTACCCGACCAGTTACGTTTTATGAATAAATTTAATATAATTTCTATACGGCAGCGTGAGTTTGATACGCTCTTATGAAATTCTAAAGTAGGTCTTTTGTATTGACTTAAGATACATAAAATTTATGGCGCTATAATAAAACAACTATTAAGTTTTTTGCTTCTACGCAAAACGTAGTTGTTTATCCAGTATTTTCACTTAAAACTTATTGCTACGTGCGCCGTAAAATGGAGAGAGTTATATACATTTTTCGGAAAATGAAACTTAATAGTGCAGTTTAAAAAACAAATCTTGGGACTCTTTTCAAAACCGATATATAGAAAACAAAAATGAATTTGTTGTTTTTTCGAAAAGATAAAATATTTGAGCTTTTTTTATTAAACTCAATTTTTCAGTCTAGCTCGTTTTTTGGAAAAATTGTGTACAAACATACCATAAATTTCACATTACATATTTTTAACTTAAGAAATCGAACCGCAAGGTACCATACAACGAAAAGCGGCAAATATAATTGTTGTTTCAATTTGCCATTTTTTGAAAAAATAAATTGTGGATTTTGCGATGCACGCCACTTTCAGAGACTTTTTCAGGTTGAACAAATTTGTCTTATTCCCATGTTAGCATTAATTAAATCAATCACAACTATTAAATAATTTTCAAATATAACTTGCCAACGGGCAACATTGTATGGAGATTTTCTCGCTACTCTCACCTTTCTTGCAGGCTTAAATGAAAATCTTATTGTGTTGTTCCAACAAGTACAGCTTCATGAAAAGGATTTAATGAAACTAGTTTTGTTAAGTTATCGTACTGAAATTGCAAAAATATGTTAAATTATAGGGTTGGTTCTTTACGTCAGACGCAATCCTCAAAATCTTAATTTTTGCCGGAGAAATAATTGACAATGCTTTGGTACTCGTCGGCCAACTAAATGAAGAGGCTCAGGAAGCTAACGACAAATTATTCAGATACTACAAGCTGAACCATACCAGGAAAACATCTAGGTGGGTTAACAGGATATTTTAACGGCTTCTGATCCTGTAGTTAACAAGGATAGATTTATAAATATCTTCATAAAGTGATACTACTGAACTGTTTTTGGAAATGATGACCTCAGATTTAATTTTGAAGAGTTATAATTGAGTTAATGTTTTTCTTGTGTTTTTTATAAAACGTTTCTTGTTCGTTGTCGAATTAATGCTTAAACTCTATATTACATGGTACCTGACAATAAATTTATTTTTAATATTTTCGTTGAGTTATTTTTAGTATTTCGCTTTTGTATGCTTTTTCTCTCCTGATATTAGATTTAAAAACTGGAATACTATTTCTGCAAGGTCCCACAAGCCTACAAATTTTTTGAACATTATGTTGTCTTACATGCCCACAATCTGTTTCGTTCCACTGGGCGTCGTTCAAATTAGACAAATCGCTTTCTTAAAAGTTATTTGTCTTCAATATAGTGTATGTAAGCGGTTTAGATTGTTGAAAATTTTGAAAATAACTAATGTGCAGACCCTGCATTTCAATGCAAATTTATAAGCGGACGACAATTAAACAAAAAAGCGTTTTCTGTTCGATTTTTGTATATTTACACCACGTATTTAATAGTATTTTCTTAAGAATGAGATAATTTGGGGGTATTGATTTACTTTGGCTTAGGTAATAATTCTTCTATAAAGGCAAAACAAAAATAGGTTTGAATTAAATATATGCATTTGCAATTGTTAATAGAATTGTACTAGATCACGGTGGTTAGAAAAAATCAACTACTAGTGTTGTTACAATAATAATTGTAGTTGAAGGTATTGTCTGAATAAAAATAAAATAAATTAGGCACCTTTAACATTTCTTTAATTAAAATTTGAATTTAATTGATAAAGGATACCTGCAAAAATCACCTGCAATAAATGCACTTGTCCTGAAGTCTTATATATATATTTTTTTATTTTATTGTTTTACTAAAGAACTAACCAAAACTCTTAATTTCTTTTCTCTAAATAAAGGACTCATATTATTCTTATTGGTGATTATACATTCTAGAGTTTAAAATTTAGTAGGGTTTAAATTATTTAATAATAATATTAATAATAATTTATTTTTCATAACATTAATTACATATCATTCCCCAACAATAATATCGTGCATCATGGACTTTACAGTCTGGGTGTGCACTGAACATGGTGCTGAAAATATTTTTTTCTATTCCCGTCTGTAAAATGCCTACACCGATCTAGTGTGCGGGAAACGTCACTTTACCACGTCAATTTCGCTTCCCGAGCCACTTCGGATATTTCCGGGATTTTACCGCAAGGGTTTGGGAGCAATCGGATGTTTTCGGAGATTTTACTCACGATTTGAATTTTAACGTTTGTCAGTTCTGACGGTCATGTTCGTGAATGTATTCGTGTTGTTTTTGTAAAAATGTACCCTAAAACAAATTCGCAGAAAAATGTTTTGCAATATATCACACAATTTAAATACTACGTGCGATATGCTACAATTAAAATGTAATAGATTAGTCGGTAAGTAAAGTGACATTTATAATTTAAATTTCCCACAGAAATTTTACATATAGTTCGCATAAATTTTATTGGTTGTACAGTTTTCATACTAATATCTTGCCAAAACCAACTGTACCATTTTCAAATATCCATGTCTCATCAGTACAAACAAAACAAAATTTAAGGTTAGGCCCTGTTTTTTCTTGCTTATTGGATCTTAAAAATTTAATTCTCTTTTCTATCCTTGAATGATTTTTCTTCCAATTACAGTCTTTTTATTTAAATAAACTACTTAATGATCAATTGTAAAAGTTGAATAAACAACATAATATTTTAAAATCGTGTTTATTCCGTTCTTTATAAGAGATATCCAATAAATACATCGGAACGATAAACGAATAGATTTAATGGCAATTAGTAAATATTTTTTTTGAAGGGTACGAAATTTAGTATTCTGATAATCTGTTATTATTTTTGATTTGTTAAATTGCGATTTTTTCGTGACGGTCGTAGAAAAAGTATAGTATGCAACACATTTGTTAAACTCTTTATCTCACTCGTTTAGTAAGCACTCGCTCCGCTCGTGCCAAATAAACTCGTGGGTCAATATACTATTGCATGGATTATATATTGTTTTAAAAAACGTGTCACAATAATAGGCAGAGACTACACCCCAGGGTGGTTATACATTTCGTGATGAGAACAGAACCAAGTTATTTTATTATTTCTTAGCCTCTGCTTGAGTTTATTTTTTATTCTTAAATTCAGCGGGTAAAAGATGAAATATTTTTGGTAAGATATGAAAAATATTTTTTTGGTATTTACATAGTTTTGCATTTTGAATAATATAGTTATTATTTTGTGTTCGTCTCGTGATATTTTGTGTTGCTTTGTAGAAGTATTTTTGAATTTTTTTTGGCCAAATCTCACTGCTGATTTTACATACAATTGATTAATTTGTAAATTTGGGCATCATTAAATGTTTACTAGAATATCTTCAACAAACATTTTTGAGTGACAATCAAATGTTCAATTACGGTTTTATTTTATTGGCTTGATCGATAATGCTAAACATTTGATTGCCGCAAATCTGGTAGATCGGTGTATAGTTGGACATTTGAGGGAAAATAGTGCCAAAAAGAAAACCCGTTTTAATGGATTTTGCATCACGATGCTCACATATCGATGCTTGTGTCTAACTTTTTAGCCAAAATAAAACAGCAATTATGCCTCAGCCACCATATTCACCGAATAAGGCCTACTGCGACTTTTTCCTGTTTGGAATGATTAAGGAGAAAAAGAAATAATCTCATCAGAAGTGCTTCGAGGATTGGAAAAAACGTTGGCACAAGTGTATTATATCTTGGTGGGGGGGGGGGGGGGGTGGATTACTTTGATAAAACTTAAGTCACCTTACTTTTTGACCACACGTCGTATATGATAACATGAACTACTATAACAGTAAGATCAGCAATTTTGAAACATGACTTTATCCACGTATCTTACTCTTGCAGCCCTCCGCTCTTCAATTGCAACATTATGTATTGATACGTAATAAACAAACGACTATCAGTAAAGAAAATCTATGTATAACTCTTGGTCACTTACGTCATCGGCATCGTGTACCTCAAAATCGTTATCTTGTCGCCGGCGTGCGCTGTAATAAGTAGTCGGGGCTATATTAATTCTAATTTACGATTTTACCGCAGAAGACGCGGGATTTTAGTAGACCATTATCATTAATAACTTCATTTGGCGCACAAGATGTAGTAAAATGCAAATGTATATTATTATTGAAGCTTTAATGCCCTTTGAGGTAGTATTTTCAATTTTAACGGTCTATGCGAACAAACGCACCGATATAAAAACGCTAAATGATTCGTAAATTCCGAGGAAGTGATTATCCCTGTCGGTAAAAATGTTAAAAAGATTTTCGAAAAAATAAAATCTACTATGAGTTGATGATAGCACAATTAATTCTTGTGCCCTGGACTATCAGAAGAACGAATTACTGTAGTTGATACATATTACATTTCAAGGAATATTATATAAACTTAAATGGATCGTTGCAACCTGGACTTGGACATGATTTTTTAATTAAATTAAAATTTTAAATCATTTTTGGATATGAAATCACCCAAAAATGTATTGTATTTTTGTGAAATAAAAGATGCTGTTAGTGCTAGTAGGCTTTATTTTGAGATACTGGGAAAAATAAAAAAATCACCATTTTAGTTTCCCTTTGTATTTTAAACCCCTGTTTAGGATGATGAAAACGACATCTTATATTATGTTATATATGTTTTTTAAATAAAACGCCTTGTATATATGTTTTTATTTGATTTAGCTTTTTATACGTTTTTTTAAAAATGTGTAATTGTCTAAATATATCTTTTTGAAATAAACCTGTCTTTTTCCATTTTACAAAAATATACTT